CCTGCACATTTTCACTTTGCACTGGGAGCCATAAATTATGTCACTGGCCTTGCATGCAGGTCTGCTGCTGACAAATTCTCACAGCTTTTTTCAACTGAAAATGTGTTTATTTCAACCCTTATTTTGAAGGCTGTGTCTAGAATTCTCGATTCACAGTCTTGTCCACCTCCCCCGCCAGCACTTCAAATATTTTCCATTGTTTCCTGCTTACCTTCTTTTCTCTGTACATGATATGAGTTTTGTTGTTGTTCTTGTTGTTCTGGCCATTTATGAATTTTCTCTTTATCACTGATTCTCAGCAGCTTGATTATGGTTTGCCTTGATAAGGCTTTCATTGTGTTTATCCTGTTTGAGATTTATTGAGCTTCCTAGATCTACAGGTTTAGAGTTTTCATCAGATTTAGAAAAATTTCAGCCATTATTTTTTGAAATATTTGTTCTCTGTCTTCCTACCCCCTTCACTTCCAGGATTGTATGTAAGGTAAACTGCTTGATACTGTTTTAGGGAGAATCTGGTTTTTGTTTTTGTTTTAGCTTCAGCTTTTTTCTCTCTGTGCTTCAGTTTTGTTTTTGACAGTTCCTGTTGCTCCTTATTTTACTTCATTGACCATTTCTTCGGCAGTAAGAAGTTGAATTTGCTGTTCATCCCATCAGTGACTTTATTTCAGACAGGGCATTTGTAGGTTCCAGAGATTCTGTTTGCTTTCATGTTTATATCTTCATTTCTCTACTGATTATGTTTGTGTTTTCCTTTAAGCTTATGAATATATTTAAAATATCCAACCTGAGGTCTTTGTCTGCCAACTCTATCATATCTATCATTTTTGGCTCTGTTTCTGTTCCTACTGACTGATTTTTCTCACTTTTAGGCTTCTTTACATATTTTGTAATTTTGAGTGGATGTTGCACATTGTGAACGTTACATTGCTGAGTGTCTAGGTTTTGTTGTCTTCATGTAAAAATTACTGAGTTTTATTTTAGTGAGTACTTCAGTTCCTTACAAATCAACATGATCCTTTTAAGGCTTTTTTTAAAAAATAAAAATTTTTATTTGAGAGAGAGAGAGCTAGCGAGCACGAGCGGGGGAGGGGGAGGGCGTGGCAGAGGGAGAGGGAGAAACAGACTCCCCGCTGAGCAGAGAGCCTGAGATGGGGCTCAATCTCAGGACCCTAAGGTCATGACCTGAGCCAAGGGCAGATGCCTAACTGACTGAGCCACCTGCTTTTAAGGCTTTTTTAAAGCTTTAGGGTAGCTCGAAAGTAGTCTTTATTCTAGGGCTAGTTTAGTCCTACTGACAAGCCATGACCTCCTAACGTCTCTACTGAATTGCCTGGGTGTTCGACAAGTCTGCTCCTATATGGATCACTGGAAGTTGAACATTTCCCAGCCCTTTGTGAACTCTGGGTACTAGTCAGCTTACAGGTCCCCTGTAGTTGTTCTTTCCCCGGTAATTTGTTTCCAGCCTTGTGCAGTGTTACCCTGTGCGTTAGCAGCTTAGTATTCAAACCAAGACTCAAGGGGATCCTATGTAGATTTCTGGAGCTTTTTCTGTGTTGCTCCCTCCTATCTGATACGGGGCCCTGAAAATTCCATCTTTCCTCGTCCCTTCAAACTCTGCCCCCTTTATCTGTACCTCAGCAAGGTTATCATGTTCTGTGCTGTTTTCTGGAAAGAGCCTCCAGCGTGAAAACTGGGCCAACATAGTGCCTGCCTCATTTGTTTTTCTTCATTCAGAGATTACAGTCCTATGTTTGTTATCCAATATCAAAAGCATTTATTTTATTTAATATATAAGTTCGGTTTTATAGTTATGTTAGGAAGGCAAGTCTAGCTCAGTGACTCTATCGTGGCCAGTGGTGAGAGTCTTCCTTGTCCCTTTCATCAATTTTCTTTCTAATTGAGGTAAAATTCACATAAAAAATATCAATCGTTTAAAAGCATACCTTTGGGGCGCCTGGGTGGCTCAGTTGGTTGAGTGTCAGACTTGGTTTCAGCTCAGGTCTTGATCTCAAGGGTTGTGAGATTGAGCCCCCTCCCCCCAGCCACCAACCCCACACTCCCTAACCCTCCTCACCTCACCACCTGTTGGGCTTCGCGCTCAGCGGGGAATCTGCCTGAAGAGTCTCTCCTTCTGCCCCTACCCCTCATTCTCACACACACGTCCTCTCCCTCTCTCTAAAATCAGTCAATCATTAAAAGCATACCCTTTCATCAGTTTTTAAATCAACTTTTAGAATGTTCCAAATCCCCCCTATTTTGTCAGGTATTTATGTTTGATCAAATAAAGTGTTTTAAAGGCTTTGGAGTGAGAAGCTTTCCCATGTAAGGCTTGAGTTACTAAAACAGAGCATCATTATTCTCTTTTCCAGAGAATTTCACTTACTCAAATGGACTCAAATTGTTTTCTTTTAAAATGCTAAAAACACAGAATCCTGTATGTGGTAAGTTATAGTGTACATTACATTTTAAGCTGATAAACTTGTGTTGATGTGTTTCTTGGATGAAAGTAAATACTCAGAAAAAAAACAGAAAATAAAAACAAGGGGACCTGATGAAGGATCACCTCTTTGGGAACAAAGAACAGGAAAAAAAAAAAAAAGCTTGATTAGTACCCTTTATTCCAAGCATGCTGTTTTATTATACTTATAAAATCATGCTTGATTTTTCATATTTGTATGTCTTTTGTTCTGTTGCTGTTTGTTCTGTTGAGATGTCCATTGTGGTTAGTGAGTGCTCGCCTCCTCTTTAAGTTGTGAGTCCTGCCTGCCTTAGTCATCTTTAAAGGGAGGGAAGTCTGACTCATTTTGTGGTATTAAGAGAAAAAAGAATTCTAAAAACTGTTGAAGTTGTCACGTTTTCTCAGTCTGTGTTTTTGTTAGGACTGTTGCAGCAAACTTAAGGAAGCAATCTCTAGGGACAAATGTGTGAGTTGGCTTTAGGGAGTTTTCCAAAAGATGAAGCTGTGGAGAGATCTAGGACTTGAAAAGCTGGGCCAGCACTTAGGGCTTAGAATGTTCCTGGTAGTGGTGGTCAACGCAAGAAACTGGGGAGGTGGCGAGTGGGACATACAGGATCTCACAGAGAATGAGGGCCATGGGGAGCAGGTCCTGAGGAGGAAGGTGGCTCAGAATTTAATTAGGTTCAAGTCAGACATGAGATGCCTCCTGCTTTGGTGAGTGATTCTTATTTTTTGGAGGGGACAAAATCAGAACTCGTATATAAGAATAGGCAAGCCACATTATAAAGAGTTTAATCTGTCAAAAATTGGAACTGTGAAATCGGATATAAAGATAAATTCTCTGTACTGTCTAGGTAGACATCTGTCTAGTCAGAAGGCGTTAAAACTTTTTTGTTTCTGAAATCATTTGTCCATTTTTTTGAAAGCTGTGGCGTATTAATACGTACATTTAGGAGCAAGTAGCATTTCTGTTTATAATGCCCACTTCTGTTAGGAGTGTCTTATGTGCCACGGAAACACCATTAATACACATCATTCATATTTGTGTGTCAAGTCCATAAATTTAGCATCTGTTGCTAGTAATTTTCAAGTTAAATTTCTTTAGCCCTGAAAAAAAAGCCTTCAGCCTTAGCAGATTCCATCTTTCTTCCCACTTGGACCCATTCATAGCTTACATTCATTCGTACATTACATACATTCGCATAGTAACAAAGGAAAAGTAAAGAAAGCATTAACAAAGACTGCTGAAAACCTCTACGAGGCTCCTAGGAGAGAGAAAAATACAGTTGACCCTTGAACGACACAGGTTTGAATTGTGCGGGTCCACGTCTAGGTGGATATTTTGCGATAAGTACAGTACAGCCCTGTAAATATATTTTCTCTTCCTTAGGATTTTTCTTAATATTTTCTCTGGTTTATTGTAAGAATACAGTATATTTAAAAAAAAGAATACGGCATATAACACATAGGTGTTAATCAGCCATTAATGTTATCAGTAAGGCTTCTTCCTGCCATCTGTAGGCTGTTGGTAACTAAATTTTGGAGGAATCAAAAGTTATAGGCAGGTTTTCAACTGTGCGGGAGGTCAGCACCCTTCACCCCGACCTTGTTCAAGGGCCAGCTATACTCCCATCTTGTCTATAGTGAGGAAAACGTGAGTCTCAAGGACACCCTAAAATCCTTAGGAATCCTCTATTAGAAGCGGCAAAAGGAGGGGCGCCTGGGTGGCTCAGTCGTTAAGCGTCTGCCTTCGGCTCAGGTCATGATCCCGGGGTCCTGGGATCGAGCCCCGCATCGGGCTCCCTACTCGGCAGGAAGCCTGCTTCTCCCTCTCCCGCTCCCCCTGCTTGTGTTTCCTCTCTCACTGTCTCTCTCTCTGTCAAATAAATAAATAAAATCTTTAAAAAAAAAAAAAAAGAAGCGGCAAAAGGATTTTCAGTTTAATAATGAGCGGCCGCTGACTGGCCCTTCACATTGTATGCATTAGTCTTTCATGGAGAGTTCTAGGCCTGGGTGCCAGGCAGTGCAGGCGGGTCCCTCAAAGCAAGGAAGCTGTGGTGGTGGTGGCGGCAACCAAAAAAAAAAAAAAAAATCTGCAACAACAGCTTTAGTATTTTGGGGCTTTGGGTTTTTTGTTTTTTTTTTTTTCCCACCCACATTAAATTTCTTAAGGTTATTTAGAATGATTTTTTTTTCATTAGATCCTCATCCAAGTTTATTTGCAGGCAAAGCTGATTTTCCTACAAACTTGTGGGAATGGTTGAAAGGAAAGTTGATGGAATCCCTGATTAACAATTGTCCTGCCTAGAATACATTTTGTGTGTGAATTGTGTATCAGTTTTGGTCAGCTGCCCTGACAGAGCCGGGCCAAGATATTTTCCTGCCTGTTAATCAAGGCCCCACAGACAAAGCTCAAGGAAGGATGACCCCTGCCTCAGGAAGTTTTGAATCAGTTGTTATTTATAACCCGTATACAGGAGAACTTGAGATCGGGTCTTTACTCAGTTGATAAGAAAAGTTCTATGCCAATTTTTACATTTGAGGAAACATTTATGGGCCTCAATGAGTGAAGCCTGTATGTGAAAGGAAGGACTGTGACAAAGCCTGTAAGTATTTTTGCCGATTTGGGTCAAGGGGGTGGTGGCAGTGATGTGCAAAGTTCAGTCGGTGACGAAATAGGTTATGATATTTTAAAGCACCTGATAGTTAATGGCACATTGGCTTGTCATTAGCACCGTGCATATGGAATCCTGTGCTGCTAATAGTAAAGTTGAAATCAGGGTATGTTGAAATAAGGGCTAGTATTATCTCCCAACATAGGCGAGAAGGAGGAAATTAGGTGTTGATATGTTTCCAGACTAACTGGCGCTTTCTCTGGATGTATACATCAACTTTTTAGTTAGTTGAGATGTATTTCTGTAAGTGTATGCTTTTTATAATACTCTGTTGGTCCTTGTTTCATTAAGAGAAGGTTTCATAAGGAATTGATTTTACAAAATAACATTGTGTACTACTATGTGTAATCTCTTATAAAACCTCAGTCTACCTAACTTTAGGAAATTAAATACAGCAGAACATTAAAGCTGACAATTTGAGAAATATCACAAGTAATATTTCCTCTGTGTTCTATCACCATCTTAGGAACGCGTTTATGGAGTTGAATTACTTAGTGGGTGACAGGTACATTTTTACATATGTAATGTAAATGAGTTATTTAGGGATACATAGGCAGTGTTTTGGTGGACTTTAAATTAGGAAATTATAAAACTGTGTTAACATACGGTTGTCTCTTTTTAATAGGAATATTCAAGATAAAGTTGCAGCCATTTTCCACGAGGATCAATGATCAAAATTTTTCTTTTTAAAAAGAGATTTCTAAGTTAAAGATGAAAGGAAAATGCTGGAATTGTTGGGATTCTAACTGACAGGATAAAGAATACAGTATTTCACAGTTACTTAAAATGGAGCCTCAGTAACATTCAGACTTTGACATGCACCCAACTGGGAACATGGATGCCGGTTTTTCTCGTTCTGCTGTTCAGACACTGTCAAGAAGCCACTGCAGAAACATCAAACAAAAAATTTCTCAGTGGGAAGGAAGAACTAATGGTATACCTAATCCAGAGAAGTGGCATCCAAGGGACTTTGGAGTGAGATATAATAACTGTCATCAAGAGAGTCTTCTTAAGAAAAATCCCGTCGATGAGGGAAAGAGCAAAAAGTTGGATATAACCAACTCTCGCAATGTTGGTCTAAATATTAATGAAGATGCGAAAAGCCATGATCAAACCAAGGATGAAAGTGGGAAACGTGGATGTGATGATACACACCTCTTTAGAAATGAATCAGAATCCAATTGGGTATGTTCTCGGGTCAAACAGATCGAAAGCTGGAAAGAAGTTGTTTTGGACCCAGAGACTTCCTTACCTCCAGGAAATTTCTATACCTCACAGATCCTGTGGAAGAAAATAGAAGCACTCCCCCCAGATAAAGTCTTAAATTTGGCTTTAGAACATTGTGACTCTTCAGAAAAAGAACTGAATTTCAGAGTTCTTGATAGTTCATATGGAATAACCAAGAGCTTAGAAAATATTTACTCTGAACCTGAGGGACAAGAATGTGGACCTTCTATAAATCCTTTGCCCAAACCTCGCAGGACATTCAGATATTTATCTGAATCCGGTGTTATGCCATGTAAAGAAAGAAACTGTGACAGAAAATACTGTGAAAATAATTCTTGCGCAGAGTCTTGTTTGGCCTCTTCTCAGGAACCTGAACCAAAGAAATATGGCAGAAAAATCAGAGGGAGATCTAAAAGGTGTGTTTTTATCTGCTCCATAATAATTTCTAAGTATTGTCCTTCCAGAACTACTGAGCTTCTTTTTTCTTTTCAAAGCCATTTTCATTTCCCTGCATGGGTTACAGGCCTAGTTTGATTTTACAGATGTTGATTAACCCAAGGGAAAAGTACCTACAAAAGGAAATAATATCTAAGACAATTTGCGGACATAAGAACATCAGAAAAACTTGCATTTTATATCTGTAAGAATACGTAGAGAAGTACATTCTTCTGCTTCGTTTAGGACATGCTGGTCTTGGCTTCACTTTCCTTTAGAGAGTGAATTTAATGAAGTTATGCAGTAAGGAACATGAATGTAATTTTCCAAAAGCCTCCAGTTTTCTCATGGTGTATATAAGGTACCAGCCTAGTTTATTATTCTTAGGTATCTGATAAAACACCTTTGTAATTTTGCATACAAGTCCTTTGCTAATTGATTTCTCTCTATCATACCAATTTAAAGAAGACTAGAGTTTTAAAACATATAACTTTAAAACCTATCTCCTTTCTTAAGGAAATCCTTTGAATTTGAGGATATTCAGCACTTTCGAAATCAGAGCTCACAGAAGATTCATGAAGAACTTGGAAGAAATTCTGGCTCAGCACTTTATTACACACAGTCGGAGGACAATATCTACGAGGATATCATATGTATGTGTCCACAAACTTTGCAATTAAATTTAATGAGTATGTATTTGGTGGGGCCCTTAACTGTAGGATGGTATTTTCTTTTATGCTCAAGCGTATCTTGCTGTAGCTATTTCTTTTAAATATGGAAACTTTTGTCATATAAATTCTTTTATTCTTGAATGGTTTTTATAGCCAGTTTAGTGGACTGCTCAGTTCAGAAGTCAATGTTTATAGTATAGTATTTTGAGAATTCTTTTAACTTGGTTGGACACCAGAGTGGTTTTCAAGCTTAAAGGGCCAAGCAATATAGGTTTAAGAAGCTGAACATAGTGATTGTTTCTTTTCCTGGCTGTAGTCCCTTTGTTTCCATTTAACTGTGTTTCTCTAAACTTTGTTTTCCCATTATTTTTCAAGATCCCGCCAAAGAGAATCCATATGAAGATATTCCGGTGCAGCCTTTGCCCATGTGGAGATCCCCTTCGGCATGGAAGCTACCACCCCCGAAAAGTGCTTTCAAAGCACCAAAGGTATAACCGAAGAATCAGTATAAGAAAACATTATATATAATTAACATAAGAAAACATAAGAATCTTGTTTATGATCCCCTCAAAAAGGTTAAAATGGTTTAACTAGGGCCAAGATTAAGAAGCACCGAAATATGGGTTTTGTTGGTAGTGGTGGTTTTTGTGTTCTTTGTGGGGTTTTGGGGGGGCACCACACAGCTTTTTCTTTGGTTTTGGGGTTTCTGTTTGTTCACTTACTAGCACTTCAAAAAAATGAGAATGTGAACACCTTTAGACAAGCCATGAGCTTTTCATTTCACTGTAGTTACCACAGCTCCCTATTAGTCCCACGACAGTCTGTGGCCTAAATTACCTGTCTCATCCCCGAAAGCATTCGTCACCCCCGCAAGTGAAGGCTGCCTTGAGTTAATGAGGACTCTGAGCTGTTGTTTTCTGGAAACGTGATGACATCGTAGTAGAACACTGGATTAGAAACCTGAGAAACGACTGCACAAATGGGGAAAAAGAAATTCTGGTATCCTCAATTGAGGTGACTTGAAAGACAAGATACATCTTTTTCTAAGATAACTTGACCTTGAGACCATCAGCATTCCCTAGACGATCTTATCTTTACCAGTACATCTTCTGTTTTAGCTTCCTCCCAAACCTCAGTTCCTCCACCGGAAGACTATGGAACTGAAGAGCTCCCAAGCTTATTTACGGTCAAAGCTCACAAAGGATACCACTTTGCCTGTCACTTTAACTGAGTGGAAGCTTTTCCGAGCTGGAGAAGTTGCAAACAGGAAAAGAAAAAATCTTCCCAGGGTAAGGACTCTAGTACTTTCATTCTTTGACTCTTACTTCATTTCCATAAATGAGAATAAATACACTTTAGACTGAAATGAATAATAGGTTAGAACTGATCTACTGGAATGAGAAGATTTGGGAAGCAGCCTTAAGATTTAGGTTTTTGCTCATGCAAGAAAAATGCATGAGTGGCTTTTGCCAGGGCTTCTTTATGGATTTGGCGAATTGATTTTAGATGGAAGGTTTCACTTCGGTTACCTTAGTTCTCATTAAAATCAGCTGCCTGTTTCAAGGAAGCACTAGAATCTCATGTAAGAGGACATTCTATTAAGCTGGCTTCAGTGTTGTTATTTTCTTTTCTTTTTTTTTTTTTTAAGATTTTATTTATTTGAGAGAGAGAGAGAAAGAGCACGAGCCGGGGGAGAGGGGCAGAGAGAGAGGGAGAAGCAGACTCCCCACCGAGCAGGAAGCCCAATGTGGGGCTTGATCCCAGGACCCTGGGATCATGACCTGAGCCGAAGGTAGCCGCTTAACCAACTGAGCCACCCAGGCACCCCAGTGCTGTTATTTTCACTCACTTATTTAATTGCCAAAGTGAACAGTTTTGTGCCTGAATTTACAGATTTTCAGTAATAACAAAATATATGCCTTTAATTTGGGGCAAAAATTTCCATTTGGGGGAAGAAAAGAGAAATTTGACTCTTACTTGGGAATAGAAATTACCAGCAATTACATTAAATAAATGATTTTTCTCTCAAGGGAGAAAAGGCAGTAAATCTAAATCATCTCAAACAGAGCTATTAGAACCAAAATGAAGAAATGGGGATTATTTGTAAACAGATATATGTTTTTAAGGAGAGATACTTAAGAAATTGGATGAAAATATTTTTAAATTCTTTATGTTACTTTGTTCTTCTATAATGTAGAATGTTTTCAGGGTAACTCTGCAGAAATGAAAAAAAAAATCAGATCATTTAAATAGTATTCCTTTCCTTAATCCCATCTGAATTAGCTGCATGTTATTCATTTGGCACACAGTGTTTGTACCTGATTTTAACATTAAACAAAAGTCCCAGCTGTTTTTTGGTTTAGTAACTGCTGATCGGTTCCTTGGGAAATATTCTGTTCCACAATACTTTAATTCTTCTGATCTATTTCCTGCCCCTCCCTCTTTAATATGTGAAGAGCTAAAGACACACAGCTTTAAAAAAGCACTAAACACATCTCTCTCAGTAGGAAAAAAAAAAAAAGCAAACCTCTTTAGCTGTTTACTGTACTGCGTATGATGAGGAATATGTAGGAATCCAATGTTTAAAGAATTGCTAGGCTTTCTACAGTAGTTCTGTCCTCTGATATATCATGCTGGCACAACGAAGCAGCCTCCCACATGGCCCAGAGACAACAGATCATGTGTTCACAGGGGTGAGAGTACAAACACATAAGGGATTGCATTTAAGACGTGGTTCTTGGAATGACATTAACAAATACTTGGGAATAATGGATTGTAGATTTTAGTGAGACCCACGGAAATTTGCAGTGCTTTTAATTTCATGCCTCCATGTTTTAGGTACTGTGGATCTCCCAAGTACTCGAAGCTTGTTCTCTTTCTAACTCTAGGTGATAGGATCCAACCTTTCCTTTTCTAGTTATTTCCTCAGAGGTCTTCTGAGAAGTGACGTGGGAAAATATGGCGATGAACTCTTGATGATCAGGCAGGAATAAGCTGTTAGCAACCCTCGGATTAAATCCTATTAGGATGTTCTATTTGCAATACAAAATTTTGACTTTTGAGTGTCTTCAGCAACAACATTCCATGAGGAAAGCAGTTTTCATTTACTTCCCCTTTGATGGCTAGAGCTATCCCAGGAAGGAAAACTGGTTTCATGGTTCAAAAATCACTGATCTAGTCCATATGCCTCTTCCCCACCCTTCCTTTCTTTCCCTACTGTGAAAGCCTGTGTGGGATTGTTTGCTAGAGTAGATTTCCTAATGTCTCACATTGTTCGTGTCAGCTGTGCATAGCAATATGGTTTCTATCATTTTGTAGGAAGAATATTCTATAATATTTCCTACTGTACCCTCCAGTATTTACTGGAAGGTAAATGTGAGCTCCTCTTCCTAACTCATAAGCAAAATTTCAATTTTATTACTTTATCTCATGTTTCTAGAGCAGATAGTTCCCTTTCCTTTATAATATTTGAGTCTCCTATTGAGTATAATTTTCAAATGCTTATTAATAATTACACTATTTTTAGGGGTGCCTGGGTGGCACGGTCAGTTAAGCATCCGATTCTTGGTTTCAGCTCAGGTCATGATCTCAGGGTCATGAGATCAAGCGCCACGTCAGGCTCCACGCTCAGCGTGGTATCTGCTTAAGATTCCCTCTCCCTCTCCCTCTACCCCCGCTCGAGCGCGTGCTCTCTCTCTCTAAAATAAATAAATCTTAAAAAAAATAATTGCACTATTTGTGGTCTGTATATCTCCAAAATACATGTTTACTCTTGTATGTCTTTCCTATAGCCCCTAACAATATCTTTTTATGTCAGATTCTCTTGTTTTTTTTTAATTATGGTAATATTTAAGAACATTGGTAATTTTTCACTTGAATGGCAGCTACAAAATTTTCAAAAGAATAAACTCATCCAGAAATGTGGGAATAATCTGCATATTGGAAGCACATGTTTCTCACATGTTATTTTTCTTTCTCTGGACTGATTCACTGCCTATGGATTGCCAGGATTGCTAGAGAAACAAGGACAAAAGCGAAAACAGGAACATTTTTCTCAAGCAACTTCGTTGGTTCTTAATGTTCCTAACAGTTGTAATTCTGGGCGTTAAATATGTTAATTCAGGATTAATGATTAAGGAAAAGCTTGGAATTTTAAGAAAAAAGAGAAATGTACATGGAAAACTAATGAATTCCTCCTTTTATTATTATTTTTTTTAAGTTTATTTGCTTAAGCAATCTCTACACCCACGGTGGGGCTCAAACGCATGCTCCACTGACTGAGCCAGCCGGACGCCCCAAATTCCTCCTTTTATTTTATTTTTTTTTAAAGATTTTTTTTTTATTTATTTATTCATGAGAGACAGAGAGAGAGAGAGAGAGGCAGAGGGAGAAGCAGGCTCCCTGCTGAGCAGGAAGCCCGACGTGGGACTTGATCCCAGGACCCTGGGATCATGACCTGAGCCGAAGGCAGACGCTTAACCATCTGAGCCACCCAGGCTCCCATCCTTTTAAAAGTGACTGTTCATCAGCTTGATTTTTTTCCTCTCTTTTTAAAAGATTTTTTATTTGAGTTTTGTTGACACATAAACCTACTCTGTGTGCATGTGTGTCTATCTGTCTCTTTCACACACACCTCCCAGCAGGAAAAAAAAAAAAATTCTGAGTAATGCTTACTAAATGGAGCCTAGTTTTTATACTAAAGCATATTTGAGAGCCTTCTATTTTTATGACATTTCTAAAATAAATTATAATATTGCAGTAGCAAAGAGAGCATTTGCTTGGACAAAATCTTTGTCAGCATGATTATCTTCTTTTTGCGAAGAATTCCTGGGAACAGAAATAACTAAGCCTTAGCCTGGCTTCCAAGTGGAATGAATATTCCTCTTACTACTCTGGGTGATAGGGAAGGCTTGGTCAACAAATAGAGTGCAGTAAGCAGATTTCTTGCATGTTGTGACATAGAGTGACAAGGAATCTCTCTAAGAGCCTGTGCTGGGTTCTGCTGGAAAGGAGATACCCTTTCCTACTTCTCTTACCCATGTCGTATGGACTTTGTATAAGAACAACATATTATCTTAATAAAGATCATTTTAGGTTCCAAAGTTTGAAAATGTAAAGGTTTTTATTTGTAAAATGGATCTTTCTTTGAATGAGAATCACTAATTAATATCATCAAGACTTGGTATTGAATCTTTAAAAAGAAAAAGTGGGGGCACAGACTGGTTCAGTCAGTGGAATGTACAACTCTTGATCTGGGGGTTGTGAGTTCGAACCCCAAGGTGGGTGTAGAGATTACTTAAAAATGAAATCTTAAAAAAAAAAAAAAAGTTGATGTTAGTTTTAACTTGTACTTTGTTGTTCTTCTTTCAGCTTGTATTGAAAATTGCTGACATATTTGAATCTAAGAGAGGGAAAAAGAGGGTAAAGTTACACCCATACACTGGAAAAGACATACCTCCCTCAAAAGGTAAGAATTGTGCCAGCTGTCCAGAGCTATCAGCATTTGAGGGGAGAATCGTATAACTTAATGTTTATGTGAATTATAATTTTTGGTTTACTTTCCTATCCCACTTCAATATAACTTCTTTAGGATAAGGATTATTTCTTATTCTTCCTCAAATCCCTTTTATTTAGTTCTGTGCCAAGTAATAATAACATTAAAAAATAAATAAGTTAATGGGGCACCTGGGTGGCTCAGTCGTTAAGCGTCTGCCTTTGGCTCAGGTCATGATCCCAGGGTCCTGGGATCGAGTCCTACATCGGGCTCCCTGCTCTGCAGGAAGCCTGCTTCTCCCTCTCCCACTCCCCCTGCTTGTGTTCCCTCTCTCGTTGTGTCTCTCTCTGTCAAATAAATAAATAAAATCTTCAAAAAAGAAAAAAAAGAAACTTTCAACATCCATAGTGAGTTATTACAATTTCATATAGACTGACGCAAGATTCTTAACTTGGCTGTCTGGCAAAGAATATGTAGAATTTAGCAATTTTTGTCAAATGAGAAACAACAGCCAAGTCATACCACAGAAGAATGTTTCCTATTTTTGCAGACGTCCAAAGACAGCAATTTCTTAATTTCCCTTGAAAATCTATTCTGCATTCCAACAATTACTATCTGAAAATAAAATCCTCCATGCTACAATCTAAGACTCTTTTTCCTTACTCTAAAATCAACTAGTCACCATTTTAGATACAAGTTTTCATATTTTTTTTCAAATTTTCGTATTTTCAAAAGCAGTTATCAAAACATGTTATAATCTTCTCTTCTGCAGAAAAAATAATTTTGGTTATTGTGACTAATAGGTACCATTTACAGAATGAAGTATTAGTTTTCCTACGTGCTTTATCTCATGGACAACACCCGACAACACTAGGAGGCAGGGACTATCCTAATTTTACAGAGGAAGAAGCTGGACCAGGGGAGGAAGTGTCCATTTGAAGGAAGGAGCATGGTACCATGAAATCTTATCCTTTTCTCTCACCAACAGTTACTCTCAATTTTTCTCATAACCCTTAATTTTTAGCAGTTTACTTCTTCTCCGTGTGTATTTTTTATCCTCAACAAGGATGTTGTCAAAGACTTTGTATTTGTATAATTCAGAATTAGATACAGAAGATGAAAACTGGTGCCAGATATTATGCTGGACCCTTTCAGACTCATTATCATTAATTTTCTCAATAGCCTTATGTGGCAGACATTACTGTCACTGTTTCTAGATAAGGAAATACATTGTAAATTGCAAGTTATGTAAAATTTCAAGACATTGGTGCCTGGACAAATTCTTACAAAACTTTACCATTTTCCCAGATTAATAGCAGTCTACTAACAACTACACTGTCGAGGTATGTTGCTAAATAGGCTCTCACTGATCTCTTATTCTATTTGTATGCCTTATTTATGCCTTAAGGATTAGGAACATTTTAGTAGATTTGGCTCTAAGATAAGTTTTTGAAGAGCCAAACCCTTTTTTTTCACTGTATCATTATTGAAAAAAAAAATTCAACAGCATGAATGGCGAACTTCTAACAACAACAAAAACGAAAAAGAAAGGCGCGGTTCCTAAATTGTAACCCTTCCCCACAACTGTGTTTTTCTTTTGCATGGCTCAAAGAAACTTTGCATTTACCCAGTCTCTGGGACCAGCTTCTCTAGTGGGTCTGAGGAATTTCTCTCATGCCTGAGGATCTCCTGGCTCCATAGTCACGTTCTCAGATTTTTCTTTTCCTCCTTAAGCTTTTGTCTGTAGATCAACAATGACTAGTAGAACCAGATAGTCATATTTGCCTACTTTGTCAGTACATGCTAGGTTTTACTGAATCTGTTCCAACCTAAACATTTCTTAACTTTTAGTTATCAGCTGTTATAAAATGATTTATTGACCGTCTTCAATTCTATTATTATAATTTTGGCGTTGAAGTCACATATAAAGAAGGGACAACCTATTTCTTTTTTGATCCCTACAGATTCTCAGTAGATTTTCCTATTGGCTTATAAACCCCTTCACCTTCATGCAGTGTCTTGGAATGCAGATCATCAAAACCTACAGATGTGAATATATTAAAGCTACCTAAATGAGCTTTGGTAGGGTCTTTTTTCAGTTGTATTACCTTTGCTTCCTTTCCCCTTTCTTTTCTTTCTAGATACTTAATAGGCCCCTGAGAAGTGCCTGGTGCTAAGGACACAGACAGGACTCAGGAGCTCACAGTGTTCGTTCCTTCATACTGAGTAATGCTTCCTAGCTCCAGTATGCTTTCTATCACGGTGGTTAATTTGAAGTTATAAAGCCTATGAGATAGTACCTACACTTGCAGTGAGCAGAGCATAATGTATGCACTTGTCAAATTGCTACATTGTACACCTGAAACCAATGTAACATTGTGTGTCAACTATACCCAAATTAAAAAAATTGGGGACACCTGGCTGGCGGTAGAGGGTGTGACCCTTGATCTCAGAGTCATGAGTTCAAGCCCCACATTGGGTGTGGAGCCTACTTTAAATAAATTAATTAAAGTTTTTTTTTTTAATTAAAAAAAGAGGCGCCTGGCTGGCCCAGTCAGGTAGAGCATGCAACTCTTTATCTCAGGGTCATGAGTTCAAGCGCCATGTTTGGGCGTAGAGCCTACTTAAAAAAAAAAAAAAAGTCCAACCCCCACCCAAAACCTATACAGTATACAATATTTAAATAGCTACTTTTTCTATTACATCTCTTACGAAGAAGCAGCATTTTTTAATGTTCTCTTCTTCCTTATTATTAAATTTAAATTAATACAGCAAGAAATTATAACAAAGAATAAGAAAAAATGAAAACCCAAAGCTTCCCAAACCTCCTACTGCTCCCAGAAAATTTTATGCACATGTAAGTATTTTTCTACCCAAATAATTTTTTATACCATTCAGACTTTGTGTGTCTTGCTTAAAAAAAAAAAAAAGTGAAGGGCGCCTGGTACCTCAGTCGTTAAGCATCTGCCTTCGACTCAGGTCATGATCCCAGGGTCCTGGGATCGAGCCCCGCATCGGACTCCCTGCTCCGTGGGGAGCCTGCTTCTCCCTCTCCCACTCCCCCTGCTTGTGTTCCCTCTCTCGCTGTGTCTCTCTCTGTCAAATAAATAAAATCTTTAAAAAACAAAAAGTGATATATTTCAGAGCTCTTTCAGTATGAACACATAGAGATCCACATAGCTGTACTGTAGTTCATTGTGTGGATGTAGAAGGATTTTATTTAAGCTGGGAGACACTTTGATTGTTTCACATTTTATTTGACCTCTGGATTTGAAGTTATATATATATATATATATATATATACACACATATCTATATTTTTTTGCTCTTCAAACAATACTGCATCATACATCTTTTTGTATATATATTTGTATATTGGTAAGAATACATCTGTAGAATAACTTCTAGCAGTGGACTTAACCAAAGAACATGTTCATTTAAAATTTTTATAACTGCTGCCAAATTGTCCCACACATTGTAACCGCTTACATTTCTCATGAACAGCATTTGAAAATGACTTTCTTCTCATAGTTTTCAGCAATACTATGTTATATAAAGCTTTTTATTTTTGCCAATAGCATGGTTGAATATTGGAACTTATTTATTATTTTAATTTACATTTCTTTAATTATAAATTTAGACAATTATATTTATCAACAGTTATAAATCTTTTCCTATGGATTGCTTATTCCTACCCTTTATTCATTTTTCTGTTGTGCTGTAATTTTTCTTGTTCATTTGTAACAGCTGTTTGAATATGAAGAAATTTATCCTTGTGTCAGCAATGTGTATTACAAATATCTTCCCAGTTCATTGTTCATTTTTCAAATTTAGTAATTTTTTATTAGGGAGAAATTTCACATTTTTATGTAGTTAAACTCATATGCATTTTTCATTTATGACTTCTAGCCTTGTTTTTCCTGATACAGAAAGTCCTGTTTGTGTCCTTAGCACCAGGCACCTCTCAGGAAACCATGGAAGTATCTGGAAAGAAAGAAAAGAAAGGGGAAAGGGAAGAAAATTACAGAAAGATTTTCCCTTTCTGTACATTTTTAAATTTTGCTTTAACTTTTCAGACTTAATCTAGAAATTTTTCATTCACTTGTACAGAAAGCTCTGTGTGTGTGTGTGTGTGTGTGTGTGTGTGTGTGTAAGTAAATTAGCCATGTGCCTAGCATTGTGGTACAAAGCACTCCCTTATAAATGCATAGCTCCTTATCACCAAGGCACCAAGGTACTTAAAATCTGGGGAAAATAAGAGCAGTTCAAAGCAATCTGAGTACTGTAAGAATTCAGAGTAAAGGAACACTGAGTTTGGCCTAGAAGTAGCTTAGAAGCATCATAAAAGAGGTATGTTTCTTCATAAATGTATATGGTTATTCCTCTGAGCCCCACATTTTCCTATGACTCTAAATTCATAGTTGGTTCTGTGTTGAGATATTTACTCAGGCCGGTGGATGTCTACCTTTAGTATCTTATTTGGGAATATAAAGACAAGGCAAGGAATGTAGAAATAGAATCTACTCTGAACCAGACTTCATAGAATTAAGGATGAGCTGGGAACTGAGGAGGGAGGGAGAACAGGGTGTGGGAAGAAGCCAGGTTGGATTAGTTGCTTCTCTGAGCCATCTGTTCTCTTTTGTGACTGACCGACCCTGTTGTAACTGAGTGGTCTGGAGAAAGGCTCAGCATCCTTAATACTCCTGATTCCAAGTCTCCAGGTCCATGCAGGCTTTACACTGTCCTCACCCCCATGGACTTGCTCCTGTTGGACAATACAACTAGGAACTCTCTCTCTCTTTTCAGGTGAAACCAGTGGGAATGAAAGTGATGCTGAGTATCTGCCAAAGAGTGAGTGAGTCAATGGGGCTGCTCCCTTTTTCGTGATGCTTATGGTTATGGGTGGAGTGGCACCTTCCTTTGTGATTGAGCATGTTTTTCCCACATTAAACTTTATTTTGTAGGCGATTTCTTCATGGTAAGGACCTGTTGAGATTTGGGGAACTACACAGTACGCCATCAGATGTTTGACAGAGTTAAAAAGCTCCCATGTTGGAATGAGACAGTCTGGTTCTTAAGATGGAATGTTCTAGGGGAGCGGTGGGGCTGCATGTTCAGACATATGTGCAGTAGCTTCCCAGCAGCCAAAACAGAGTATGTGAATCACCCTCTGAGACAAATACATACCATTAAATATCTGATTTTTCATAGTCACTCACATGTACTTATTTAACTTCGCTATCTCTGACATCGAGACAGGAAATATCGATCTGTTTCTTATTCAGAGGCATTTATTTATATTTCAAATTATTGTGCCATTTACTTTCTGTCAGAATATAGAATCTGCCATGCATTTTTGGTTGTATTTCTTCAAGCACTTCGTGGTGCTCTGTATCCTTCATCTAATGGATTTTCACAGCAAATTATAAGTTCCTGTTTAACTGACCGACATTTTGAGGCATGGGAAAAGTCAGAGACATGAATGATTAAAGCTGAGTACCAGGCAGTTCCAAGTCTGATACTCTGATCTTATGATTAATAGTCATGTGCTCTCTCCATTGGCCTGAATTGCTTCAGGTGTTTGATTCAGTAGCCTGACTGAAGGTGAAACTTAAGTCATCATCAGGTTCAGCCTGGATGTGTAAAGATGACGAATTTAAAGCTGTTGCTACTGAGAAACAGGACCTAAAATTTTCTTGACTTGAACTGAGACCTTTGGAGTAAGTAAAGCTTTGCCTAGAGCACTAAATGGACTGGATAATTCCAGGGAGCCATTCTGAGATGAGTTTTTAAGTGTTCTTAATATTTGATCCATAGTGTAACTTCTTTGGGGGCAGAATGCATCCTATCTCAAAAGAAAAGCAAACCATTAGAGGATGCGTCTTTTAATCATGGCTCAGAATGACACATAATCAAATCTCTGGGACACTTAGACTATTTTTTCAGCAACTACAGCATTTTCCCTAGAGGAGACTACCCCAAATTTTTCACAATTTAGAGATATATGAGAATAAAGGCTAGGGGACACCCGGGTGGCTCAGTCGTTAAGCGTCTGCCTTCAGCTCAGGTCATGATCCCAGGGTCCTGGCATCTAGCCCTGCATCAGGCTCCCTGTTCAGCGGGGAGCCTGCTTCTCCCTCTCACTCCCCCTGCTGGTGTTCCCTCTCTCGCTGTGTCTCTCTCTGTCAAATAAAAAAAATCTTAAAAAAAAAAAAAAGGAATAAAGGCTAAATGCTATCCAGTTTTGAGTGGAATTGCTCATACTGTTTAAGTATTTAGTACGCATCCGTAATTTCATTCTTTTGAGAAATAGTCCATTAATAGATATCTTCTGTTGCTTCATTTTTCCCTCTTCATTTAGCACCATATCTTGATATTAGTTTATGTCCATTATTAGCAATATATGCCAAGGCGAGAAGGGAAAAAAGGACAGTTTCTTTAATGTGAGGAGAGTTTTTGTTTTAATTATATCAGATTTATCCCTTATGTACTTAGACTCTATTGGACTCAGTTCTTTTATCAAATCTCCCCCCCCACAAACACACACACACACACACACACACACACACACACACACACACACGTGTTTTCATGGTCCCAACAATGGCGTCTGCTGTCAGGCCAGTGCTTTCACCTGACATTTTCCACGTATCCCGGTGTTACGTCATGAAAGATGGGACAGCATAGGAATATGTGTTGGGACATACATAGAGTATGGGTTGGACATGGACTGTCAGTGCCACCACAGGGCCCCTGGGCACTTGTGAGAATCTGCCCTTGTCCCCCGAGGATGTCAGAGCCCTCCCAGGCCTGTCCGTGTGGCCGGCACCAGTTAGTCAGCATGCAGTCAGCAGTGACTGACAGAGGTCACCAGAGGGAAGACGGGGCCACCACGGAGAAACAGCGCTCCCTGGTTTCGTTGCAGATCGCCACAAGCGATTAGCGCAACTGCAACAGTCTTCCAAGAGGAATCCTCACTACCAGACCTTGGAGAGGGATCTCATTGAATTACAGGAGCAGCAGCTCTTTGAACTTTTTGTGGTGGTGTCTCTACAGAAGAAACCATCAGAAATAAGCTACATTCCCCAAGTCATACAGCAGTTCCCTAGCAAGGTACGTGCGAGGAGACCAAGAGGCATTCGGGAATGTTCTTGCGTCTCTGTGTGTATTTGATTTCCTCTCTTCTTTTTATTGTGATCTGAAGCAGCTTTTACCACTACTGTACCTCTTGTGGGATCTGGTAGGTGAGTCTGATGACATCTCCTGTCAGGCCTGAGCTACAAACAAGGGCAAAAAAAAAAAAAAAACTCATTTTCCAAGTTGGTTTTTTATTATTTGCTCTGCTGTTTACTAAGTGCCCTTTATCAAGTTGCAAAGCCTCAGTTTTCTCATTCTTAATGAGGAGCACGATAAATACGGCAGAATAGGGTAGCCGTTTAGAGCATGGACTCTAGGCCAACAATGCACCTGCCACTTGTTAGCTCTGTGACCCTGAGCCATTCCTAACTGCTCTGTGCCATGGTTTCTTCATTTGTAAAATGGAGATAATCATCATAGTGTCTATCCCACTGAGTTGTAGTGAGGATTAAATGAGCCGTATAAGGCACTTAGAATAGTGTCTAGCATATAGGCAGCACTATAGAATGTTATCCATTATTAGTGAGGGTTTAATGAGATAACGTGTGTAAAGTGCTTAATGCGGTTCCTGGCACATAGTAAGCATTTGATAAATGGTATCTATTAGTAACAATATTCCTTGGTTTTTTTTTCCTACCTTATGCCTGAGGGAGCATAATATTAAATAGCAAATAGAAATCCCACTAGAAGTTGAGAGACCCTAGAAGAAAAGAAAAAGTTTTATATTTTATTTTGTACTTAATTTTTCGTGCTTTTTGAATAAGGGCTCCACAGTTTGATCTTGCACTCTGCTCTGCAGATGACGTAGCTGGCCTTGGTAAGGAGTGGCCCTTTTACATAGGGACATTCACTCACGCTCCATCGTACTACTTGGACCACTTCTCTCATTTATGTTATCTGCTCAGCTGCTTTAGGACTTGGGGTTTAAACCCTGAGATACATGTGTCACCAAAAAGAACTAGTGAAGCACAACTGTATTGGAATGGAATCTAAGAGATATTTCCTGTGTGACCTTTCATTTAAAAAAAAAGGGCTCAACAACATTCCTACTGTAAATAAGTCAGTGTTTAACTTCTTATAAAATTCTTCAATGTAGTCTGAGAGCACAGTGTCACAACACTGAGCCATAGAAGTCATGATAATGTAATCCAGATAGTCTTGAAGAATCAGATTTCCCGTAAAGAGGAGCTCAGTTTTTTCCCTATTTTCAATTAGTCTTACATTTGCAGAGAGAAAGCTTGAGGTTGAACCTGTTTTCAACAAAGCCTGAATTAAGGGACTCAGAACCAGCTAAGGACCCAGTTGACTCTGGCAGGGATTCAGGGATGTTTCTAAGCCAAGTTACTCAGCATCTTTGTGCATTAGGCTCCTATAAGTTAAGGTGGGAAAGAGCTGATCAAGTCTCTCTTGATTGTGTTGTGGAAAATCTTAGATGAAGATGATTGTCTGTCATTTAACAATATAAAAATAGGGGCACCTGGGTGGCTCAGTCGTTAAGCGCCTGCCTTCGGCTCAGGTCATGATCCCAGGGTCCTGGGATCGAGCCCTGCATCGGGCTCCCTGCTTGGCAGGAGGCCTGCTTCTCCCTCTCCCACTCCCCCTGCTTGTGTTCCCTCTCTCGCCGTGTCTCTCTCTGTCAAATAAATAAATAAAATCTTAATATATATATACATAAATAACAGAATATGAGACAACTAAAATTTTGTTAGAGTACTTTTCCAGGGGTGCCAGGGGTGGCTCTGTTGGTTAGGCATCTGCCTTCGGCTCAGGTCATGATCCCGGGGTCTTGGCATCGAGCCCCGCATCAGGCTCCCTGCTCCGCATGGAATCTGCTTCTCCCTCTGCCTCCCACTCCCCCTGCTTGTGCTCTCTCTCTCTCTCTCTCTCTCAAATAAATAAAGAAATTTTTTAAAGAAATGAATGCTTTTCCATTTCTGAAGAGCTTAATCTTCAAGTGACTCAGAATGGCTGCATGTTCTGTTTAGAAATTAAATTAAAGGATACATTATATTAGTTACATGAAAGTAATATGGTTATTAGACTTATTTGCTTGTTTTAGTACTAATTTTTAAATGTCTCTTGGTATAACTAATTTTAGATTGTTCTTTGACGTACAATATCGGACTTGCGCAGAAGGGTCTTCCATGCTAAAATTTCACAGGAAGTTGCAAACCAGTAATTAGTTAGAAAAGATTATATGCTAAGGGAAATGATTATATATGGGGTAGATTTTAAAAGTAGTATCTTTTCTAAATAACATTCACCTGCCTTTTCAAAACATCTTTGATTATTGATCAGAGGGTATCTGGAGCTATCTGGGTTTTTGCTATCAGCATATTATAGAATCGATTTTTATTTGATGTCCTCTGATTCACATAAATATCATGTTTCCCCTAGTATGTGAATCCTGAATTAAGATTCTATCTCTAGACTAGAAACTATTTTCAGTCACCTCTCTTGCATCAGATTATAGGATCCCCACAAGTAACCATTTCTGTGTAAAAATAAGATTCTTTATTCTTAGTAACTCTGTTCTCCATGCATCTTCAGTGATTATTGGTCTTGGCCTTCCTGTTGTGTTAAACAACAAAAAACCATGGTGAGATGACTACTTAGGCTTATCAGAGACCTCCTTTCCCGAGACTAGGCTGTTCGTATTTCTGGTCTCCACTTACATAGAATATTTGTCACCTAAAACATTATCTTTTTCAGGGTGATCATGGCTTTAAGCAGTCCAAAGACACTGAAGAGAGGCTCAAAGTTATCCCCAAATTTTGTTTTCCCGACTCAAAGGACTGGGTGCCAACCTCAGAACTCAAGAGGTAAATAGGCTCCTTTATCAGATTTCTATTTGTTGGAACTGCAGAAGTAGAATCAGAATGTTTGTGAAAAGGGTAGAGCCAGCAGTTAAAGTTACGTGGACACTGTGGCAGGTCAAGGATGCTGTGGGAGGAAAAGAAGAAACGGAATTAGAACATTTCCTATGTGAGTACAAAGAAGAAAAACGCAGAATAGTTTCAGTGTCAAAGGGAAAACAAGTTGGAGAATCTCTGTAGTTTACCAGTTCTGTGGGTGGGGGAAACGTTCCGTTTCACATACAATCAGAAATGCCACCAAGTGGACAGAAAAAGGAAAGAAGACTTGAGCTTTGGGACTCTCCTTGGAGGTAGAACAGAGCAGTGTCTGCACCTTGTTTGTCCTTCAAGTGGACAGAAGCCCAGGTGGTACATTCCCCTGCAGATCTTGTACGAAGGGAGGCTCCAGATTGGGAGGTGTGAGTGTATTGAGAAGGGAGGATCAAGAATTTCTTCCTGGGATCTCCAGGGAACCATGTTCAGTCAATAAACAGTCCTCATCTCTGAATCCTGCTCGTCAATAGATACCTGCTTTGTTCAGAACTGTGATTGTTGACCAGGCTCTTTAGGCTGAACAGTGTGACTCTGGCAAGCACGTCACAGGCAGGTGCCCTGCTGGCGGACGGCCTCCCCTGTGGCCTGAGCGGCTGCTCTGCCTTCCATGTCACGTCGCGTCCCATCTCAGCCGCTGTGCCCCTAACCAGCTGGGCCTGATGGCCTCTTTCTTCTCTGAGCCGTCAGTCCTGACGCTCTCCTGCTGTCGCACGTGCTGCTCGCGGCACAGGCGCCTTGTTTCACACCGGCCTGGCTGCTCCACAGCTGGCTTTCCTCCCCAGCCGGTTAGATGGGGTTGTTTTCTGGAACATTCGGAAAATACAGAGGAGTAAATAGAAAGCAGAAATTATAAGTCACTGGCATTCTGGTACTCAGAGATAGTAACTCAATATTTTGGCGTACTTTCCATCTTTATTTTTGGCCATATATAGACACGTGTATTCACTGTTCAGATTTAGATTTCTTTGATTATTAATGAATTTCTTCCTCAGTCTTCTTTCTGAAAATTACCTATGCAGAGCTTTTGCCCGTGTTTCCAGCGAGGAGTGGGTGATTTTCCTATTAGCTTGTTTACGTCAAGGATATATCCTTGGCCTCTCACTGTTCCATAGGACCCCTCAGAACTAAATGGAAGAATTTGGAAGTGAAAAGGAGCTTATCCAAGCTTACCTAAATGTTAGACTACGTTGGATATTCACTAAAAGGAGAGTAGGCTTGACTAATAGCTAGACTGGATGACTAAGAATGTAAAAGCACATAGTAGCATCAGCATGTCTCCTGTACATACACTCTCACCCCCGTGCCAGGCAAGACGTTCTCAGGCCTGGACATTCTCCCTCAGGAGGAAGGTGACTTGCAATCAATGTAGCATTAATGCCCCCTCTCACATCACAAAATGACTGTCGGACAGTAATTTTCAGTTGTCTGTTCCATGAAGAATGTCATAAGCGTCTGTTTAGATCTCAAACTATTGACTCTTTTTTCAGTGAAACATTCTCCTTTGTCTTAACTGGTGAAGATGGGAGCCGGTGGTTTGGTTACTGTAAGAAGCTCTTGGTAAGTACCAGACTTGTGCTACAGATGGGGTTGGTCAAGTCAGACTAGGAGCTTCAGAAACCCTATTTCTAGATGAGTTTGAGGGCTGCTTAATGATCCGTGTATTAAAGAAGCTATGTTGGGGCGCCTGGGTGGCTCAGTCGTTGAGCGTCTACCTTCGGCTCAGGTCATGATCCCAGGGTCCTGGGATCGAGCCCCTTGTTGGGCTCCCTGCTCAGCGGGGAGCCTGCTTCTCCCTCTCCCTCTGACCACCCACCCCTACTCGTGCTCCTACTCTCTCTTTCTCTATCTCAAATAAATAAAATCTTTTAAAAAAAGCTATATTAGCTTTAAATAGTAACAGCAGGGTTGGAGTTAGCCACAGTATTCCAGAATAAGAGGGGTACAGACTTACTTTATTTATTTGTTTGCCTCTTTTTTATTTGTTTGTGATAGATAAAGAAACCAGTGACAGAATGGCTAAATATCAGTCTGGGTCTGTTTGAGGGATGGACTACCGTGAGCCAATCGTGGGAGCTCTGAGTTACTTTCTTCTTGCTTAGATGCCTCCACTAAAGCTGGAATAAATCATGCTATCATATTTTAGCGTTTTCCCGTCTTTTGGTATTCAGTGAGAATGAGAACCTTGGTTCCTAGTCTGTACTGAAGGCCACTAAGAGAGTATTAATAGTTCCAGTGAACAGACTTGTGCTGCCTCATGGTTGCTTTGATGTTTTCTCTTTCAGCCGGAAGGCAGAGGGAAGCGACTCCCTGAGGTCTACTGCATGGTCAGTCGCCTCGGCTGCTTCAACCTCTTTTCCAAGGTGAGTGCAGCATGAGGCCTGGGGAAGGTGCTGTGCTTTCTGGGCTCTGAGTAAGTTTTCGTCTCTGATGATATCACTAGGCAATGTTTAGTGACGTAGACTCTAACATAGTACTTTAGGATGGGTTCTCAGTAGGAGATGAGAGCTGTAGGTTTGAGGGTTTACATTCAGGTCTCTAATCCAGATGCTGTTGTCATGCCATCCTCATTTTGGTTTGCCAAACCTCCCAGCTTCAAGGAGAACGTGGCCTGAAGCTCGTCTTGTCTCCTGCCTTTCCCCAGACACCACACAACAAGATATAATTTCAGTGTCACCTTCTCTGCCCTTACCTGAGTCAGATGAAAGGGGCTCCTCTTCTAAAAATGAGTTGATTTATTTGAGTAACTTTTCTTGGGGATGTCAAGATACCCCCAAGAGATATGATGCCTTTAATGAATGTTTAGTCGTTGCAGAAAGCTTATCTGTCTTAAAATCTTTTGGTGTGATTTTTAAGTTTACGCATCATGTTTGGCAGTTCCTTATGTTTTTGAGTCCCTAAAAAAATAACATACGTTGCATGTGCAGATTCTGGATGAAGTAGAGAAGAGAAGAGAGATGTCTCCAGCCCTGGTTTACCCATTCATGCGAAGTGTCATGGAAGCTCCTTTCCCAGCTCCTGGACGCACCATCACAGTTAAGAGCTACCTCCCTGGGGCTGGCGATGGGGTAAGTTAGCTCATTTTGAAAAGGTTTGATAGACACCAAAAAGCAGGCCTTACACTAATAGGCAAAGTTTCCAGAAGCCTCACAGCATAATTTTCCCTTTTCCATAAACCGTGCAGAATATGTTTTGGTAACACAAAACACTGGAGAAATGTCCCGTTGATCTGTGAGATAGTTGACCCTAGACACAGGAGCCAGAGGTTTTCGGTCTGTCATTGACTGAGCCCCTTCCTAATAATTTCAGTGTGATAAATGAAGATTATACATGCTATTGTCAGGTGGGATAAAAGATTTTTTTAAAAAGATTTTATTTATTTATTTGAGAGAGCACAAACGGGGAGCAACAGACAGAGGGAGAGGGAGAAGCAGACTCCCCGCTGAGCAGGGAGCCTGACATGGGGTTCGATCCCCAGACCCTGAGATCATGATCTGAGCTGAAGGCAGACGCTTAACCAAGTGAGCCACCCGGGCGCCCTGGGATAAAAGATTTTATCAGAAATTTACAGCGTGGAAACAAGGTATTAGGGGGCACCTGGCTGACTCGGTCAGTAGAGCATGCCACTCTTGATCTTGAGGTGAGGAGTTCAAGCCCCATGGTGAGTGTAGAGATTACTTAAGAAAATAAAATCTTGGGGCATCTGGGTGGCTCAGTCATTAAACGTCTGCCTTCGGCTCAGGTCATGATCCCAGGGTCCTGGGATCGAGCCCCGCATCGGGCTCCCTGTTCCGTGGGAAGCCTGCTTCTCCCTCACCCACTCCCCCCTGCTTGTTTTCCCTCTCTCGCTGTGTCTCTCTCTGTCAAATAAATAAAATCTTAAAAAAAAAAAAAGAAAAGAAAATCTTGGGGCACCTGGGTGGCTCAGTCGTTAAGCGTCTGCCTTTGGTTCAGGTCATGATCCCAGGGTTCTGGGATCGAGCCCCGCATCAGGCTCCCTGCTCCGCGGGAGGCCTGCTTCTCCCTCTCCCACTCCCCCTGCTGTGTTCCTGCTCTCACTGTCAAATAAATAAATTTTAAAAATCTTTAAAAAAAAAGAAAATAAAATCTTTAAAAAATTCATATTCATGGGGCACCTGGGTGGCTCAGTTGGTTAAGCGACTGCCTTCGGCTCAGGTCATGATCCTGGAGTCCCGGGATCGAGTCCCGCGTCGGGCTCCCTGCTCAGCGGGGAGCCTGCTTCTCCCTCTGACCCTCCTCCCTCTCATGTACTCACTCTCTCTCTCTCTCATTCTCGCTCTCTCAAATAAATAAATCTTTAAAAAAAAATTCATATTCATAATAAGATATTAGGTCTTGGGATTAGTGGAGGCAGCTTCACAAGCTCTGTAGCAAAACCTCTGTCCTGAATTTAACCTGTAAAAGAATGACGGGATCCATTGATGATGTCATTAGGGATTTTTTTCCAATCTGAATTCCCCTGATTCAGATTCTTTCATTTTTCAGTCCATTGAACTCTGCCGACCACTGGATTCCCGATTGGAACATGTTGACTTTGAATGTCTCTTTAAGTGCCTGAGTGTGTGCCATCTCATCCGGGTCTGTGCCTCCCTCCTGTTGGAACGGAGGGTAATCTTTGTTGCCAACAGCCTAAGGTGAGAAATGTGTAGAATATGTCACTTCCTACTGGTATTTTACTTGTTCTCACTATTTTAAAATTTGGGCATATTCAAAAACTGTGGATCTCAGTTACCTAATGCCGGGGCCGTAGTGACATGGACAATTCCAAATGGTAAATAATCCAAAAGCTGTTTGCATTAGGCGAGAGCAGTGACTTTGAGATTGCAATTAATTTATCTTTCTAAATGTGTTTTACTTAAACTGTTGTTCAACATTCATGTTGCTGAAAACAAGTCATATTGCTGGAATGAACAAGTCATGGGAATAAAAGGTAACAGCATAGGGAATATAGTCAATGATAGTGTAATAGGGTTGTGTGGTGACAGATGGTAGCTACCCTTGTGAGCATAGCATAATGTACAGAGACTTTGAATCATGATGTTTACACCTGAAAATAATATAACGTGCATCAACTATACTCAAATTTTTTTAAAAAATTGGTACTGCTTTTCTAAGTACACACTAATTTTTAGCAACCATAAATTGTGGGGAAAATCTGGTTAAGACTAAAATTTTTCAGTAAATTAAGTTAAAAATTTAAATAAAATGTTAAAAATTAATGAGTGATCACAGCATCGTTGATCTGTGATCACTGATCACTAAACAGTGTCAGTTTGTAATTCTGTAACATAATATATGGACCATTGCCCATGTGTTGCTCAGTATGTGACACCATTGGCTTTCTTCTCTACTAGCACCCTGTCCAAATGTGGCCATGCTGTGGTCGCCACACTGTATCCATTCACCTGGCAGCACACCTATATTCCAGTCCTCCCAGCATCTATGATCGACATCGTGTGCTCACCCACCCCATTCCTTATTGGAATCCTGTCTTGCTCCTTACCACAGCTCCAGGACCTACCCATTGAAGAGGTAAGATGGGAGAAATAGTACCCATGGAAAAGATAGCGCACTGACGAAAACAAATCACCTTAAAGAATGATGGAGCTGGAGGCCCCCGGGTGGCTCAGTCAGTTAAGCATCTGCCTTTAGCTCAGGTCATGATCTCAGGGTCCTAGGATCGAGTCCTGTATGGGGCTCCCCGCTCAGCGAGGAGTCTAATTCTCCCTCTCCCTCTGTGATCTCTCTCACTCTCACTCTCTCTCAAATAAATAAAATCTTTAAAAAAAGAATGATGGAGCTGTCATTAATATGAATATGTAATTAATATCAATATATTAGGCTATCATAGTTTTGTATTGATTTATTAAAAAAAAATTCTGTAGTACACATGAACCCGAAGTTGTATCTTAGTTACAGTAGTGTACCATGGGCTCATTCTTGTGTTACTCCGAAGGGTAGGTCTTTTTGTTCATTTTAAGTCAAACACAAGAACTCCTCTGGGTTAACTAAAAAATTGTTTCGGGGGTGCCTAGGGTGGCTCAGTTGGTTAAGCGTCTGATTCTTGGTATTCTCGTTGTGATTTAATTTGCATTCCTGATTACTCTTGGGGATGAGCATCTTTCTATGTTTATTGGCCATTTGAATATCATCTCTTAAAAATTCATTATCTGGGGCACCTGGGTGTCTCTGTCAGTTAAGTGTCTGCCTTCGGCTCAGGTCATGATCCTGGAATCCCAGGATTGAGTCCCACATCAGGCTCCCTGCTCAGTGGGGAGCCTGCTTCTCCCTCTGACCCTCCCCCTCTCATGCTCTCTCTCTCTCTCTCTGTCAAATAAATAAATAAAAATCTTTAAAATATAAAAAAAATTATCTTTCTACTGGATTATTTACCCTCATTGATCTGTAAGAGGTATTTTTATATTCTGGATATTACCCTCTTTGTGGCACATCTTTTTATTCTCCAAAATGGCGTTTTTTAATGCACAGAAGTTCTTCATTTTAAGATAGTCGTAATTATCAGTCTTTTCCTTTATAGTTAGTGTGTGGGTTTATTTTATTTAATTTTACTTTATTTTATTTTTGTGAACTGTTTATGTTTTTCTTTATATAACTTCATGGAGATATCCTCCTATATCATCTCCTGGAAACTTTGGTAGCTTTATTATTGTGACTTTAATTTTTTATTCTGAATCCCGGGACTTGATTTTTTTTTTTTTTTTTTTTTTTTTTTTTTGAATGCGGGGGGTTTTTTTTTTTTTTTTTTTTTTTTGTATATGATAGGAGGTAGGGGTCATTTTATTTTTTTTGATATGGATAGCCAACTATCCTAGTACCATTTATTGAAAAGATTGTTCTTCCCCATTACTCTGCTGTGTTAATCCCTACCTTTTTTCTATTGAGCTGTAATTGACATACAACGTCGTATTAAGGTTAAGGTGTACAATAATGATTTTATACACATACACATTGTGAAATAATTAACCACAATAAACTACGCCTCACATAATTACAATTTTTTGTTCTTGTGATGAGAACTTTTAAGGTCTGTTCTCTTAGCAACTTGCAGATATACAGCAATATTGTTAACTGTAGTCACCGTGCTGCATGGTACACCCCCAGGGCTGATTTATTTTACAAGTGGAAGTTTGTGCCTTTTCACCACCTTCACTCATTTCGCCCATCGCCATCCCCCCCACCTCTGGCAATCACCAGTCTGTTCTTTGTATCAGTTTTTTTAGATTCCACATATCAGTGAGATCATACATTACTTCTTTTTCTCTGCCTGACTTATTTCACTTAGCATAATGCCCTCCAGGTCTATCCATGTTGTCATAAATGGCAGGATTTTTTTCATTTTTATGGCTGAATAATATTCACATATATATTTTATATATATATATATCTATATCTCATATCTTCTTTATCTGTTCATCCACCAATGGACACTGAGGTTGTGTCCATATGTTAGCTTTTGTAAATAATGCTGCAGTGAACATGGGGGTGGGGATATCTTTTCAAGATAGTAATTTCTTTCTTCTTCTTTTTTTTTTTTTGCATATATGCCCAGAAGAGGGATTGCTGGATCACATCCATATGGTAGTTCTATTTTTAATTTTTTGAGGAACCTCCATACTGTTTTCCATAGCAGCTGCACCAGTTTGCATTCCCACCAACAGTGCACGAGGGTTCCTTTTTTCCCACATCCTCACCAACACTCGTTATTTCTTGTCTTTTTGATAATAGCCATTCTGACAGATTGAGGTGATATCTCATTGTTGTTTTGATTTGTATTTCCCTGATGACCAGTGATGTTGAGCATCTTTTCATGTGCCTCTTGCCCTATTTACATTTTTTTGGAAAAACGTCTATTCGGTTCCTCTGCTCAATTTTTTTTTTTTTTAAGTAAACTCTACTCCCAACGGGGGGCTCAAACTCAAGATCCCGAGATCAAGAGTCACATGCTACACTGACTGAGCCAGCCAGAAGCCCCTGCTGTGCTCATTTTTAATAGGATTATTTGGCATTTTGTTTGTTTTTCTTTGCTTTTGAGTTCTCTATATATATTAAATATTAACCCTTTCTCAGATGTATAATTTGCAAATATTTTCTCCCATTTTCTAGGTTTCCTTATCATTTTATTGATGGTTTTGATAGGAATTACACTGAATCTGTAAATTACTTTGAGTAGTATGAAAATTTTAACAATTTTCTTCTCATCTGTGAACACAGAATATCTTTCCACTTGTGTTCTTCAGTTTCTTTCATCAGTGCTTACTGTTTTCAGTGTACAGATCTTTTGCTTCCCTGGTTAAATTTATTCCTAGGTATTTTATTCTTTTCAATGCAGTTGAAAATGGGATTGTTTTCTTAGTTTCTTTTTCAGATAGTTCATTGTTAGAGTATAGAAACACAGCTGAGGGGCGCCTGGGTGGCTCAGTCGTTGAGCGTCTGCCTTCAGCTCGGGTCATGATCCCAGGGTCCTGGGATCGAGCCCCACATGGGGCTCCCTGCTCTGCGGGAAGCCTGCTTCTCCCTCTCCCAGTGTTCCCTCTCTGGCTGTGTCTCTCTGTCAAATAAATAAATAAAATCTTTAGAAAAAAAAAGAAAGAAAGAAAGAAACACAGCTGATTTTTGTGTTACCAGGTGCCTGTTACCCAGGCGCCCCTGAACTTAATTTTGTTTAACACTATTTCCATTGCTTGAGAGAATCAACGTACTCTTCCTGATCTAGTAGTGCCTAATATATGTCTCTGTGAATGTCTCTGGTTTAACCAACCTGGCTCCTTGATCCCATAGGTGCTGATAGTTGATCTCTGTGCAGACAAGTTCTTACAGGAGGTAAGTGACAAATGAGCTGATTGCATAATGTTTGGGGATAATTGGACAGAAAATATGTGAAAGTACTTGGAGAAGATGACTCAGGCAAGACTTTTAGTTCCTACACATACTTAACACCGTGGCCAATCATACAGGATTGACCTGAAAATTGGGTTAGGTTTATAGCTGTCTCTCCCAAAGAAGGAAGGAGGAAAGATATTAAATGTCATTGTCAAAAGAGGTAACCCTCCTTTGACATCCAGTTGGGTTGGTGTATAAGGCTCTAATTTAATTGAATTTAACAAGCATTCAGCACTGATTATTTCTAGATACTCTGTTAAAATCTAAAAGTGAGTAAGACACAGTTTGAGCCCTCCGACCTTATAATCTAACGATGGGAAGGGAGAGCAGACATGTCTATAAAGCTTTAGAAACAGTGTCATAGAAATTTCTACAGGGTACAGTAGGGGCAAAAAAAAGTGGTCATTTACTGTGGGTATTGAAAGTGGAAGGGAGAGTTAGCAAAGCCTTCTTAGAGCAAGCGCCCTGTATGGACCTGTATATAAGTTTGTGAGCACTGAACACATGGTGAAAGGAACATTTCCCAAGACTTTGTCTCCTTTCAAAACCAATTAGCTCATAACGTTTGAAACACTGCTTATTTGTGGATGACCCTTGTAATGCAGTGTAAGACTTGCAGGTGAGAGATACTTGGTGGAAAGGTGCCAGAAAATGTCATAAGACACATTATTTATTTTCTTAATGTAGTTAAGATGTGTACCGTCACCATACTGAATTCTGCTCAATGTAGGGAAGGAAGGTTCAGACTGAGTCTTAAGCCAAAATCTATACAAAGTCACCTGTGGAATTTGGGGGACTTAGTGTACATTGGAGACTTTCTCACAGCTCATGAAAAAAATCTCAATTTCTTCTCTTAAGGTATCTGATGAGGACGAAATTCTACCTCCTAAACTCCAAGCTGCCCTGATGCAGATTTTGGAAGAACGAAATGAAATCTTGGCTCAGGAGCACAATTTTTCACAAGGTATGAGACAGATGGTCTGAGGACACAAAGTCAAGGCAGTAAATACTGACTGGATGCCCAGCACCCTGCTAAAGGATGTACAGGAGTATACCAGTCTAGGATGTGGAAAGCTTAGAATCGGCTTCCTTGCCGCCCCTCAGATGTGCTAGACCCCTTCTATTTCAGGACTTTGACACTTGCTGTGTTCCAGTTCTGGAATGCTGTTCCCCGGGATGTCCACATGGCTCTTGCTCTTCTTTCCTGCAGGTCCATGCTCACATGTCACTCTCTCAGTGAGGCCTTTCCTGACTATCCTTTTAAAATTGTACCCGTTCCCTTAGTGCTCCCGCTCCATTTCCCCTACCTTAGTTTTCTTCAGGGCTTTTACCATCATCTGATGTGCTAGAAATGTCAGGTGCATGAGAGCAACAACAATGTGTTTTGCTTTATCTCCAATACTTTAAACAATAGTCAATAAGTAGGTACTGGATAAATATTTGTTGCATAAGGGTGAAAAATATTTACTGAGCAGCTTACTCTGTACCAGGCCCTGTGCTCAGCACTTAGCATACATCTTATTTCATCCTTGTAATATTCTTATGAAGCAGGTCTCATTATTTAATCCCCCTTTTACAGATGAGAAAACTAAGTCTATTTGCTGGTGGGGAACATTAAGGGAGGAGTAGGTTTAGAGAAATAATTAAAAGTTCCGTTTTGAATATTGAGATACCTATTGGATGTCCAATACATAGCAGACATTCAACTAGAGATATCAAGTAGGCATTCATATACATGAATCTTGGATTCAGGGAAAAGATTTGAACTAAAGACATACATTTAGAAGTTGCTGTTTTAAAGCTGTGGGACCAGATGAGGTAACCTTATAGAGTGAGTATAGATAGAAAATAACAGATTTAAGGATTGAGCCCTGGGTTGGCTGGTAATGGTGTGGTCAGATTTCCAATGTTTGGCAGTAGGGAAGAGGAGGGGGATCCAGCAAAAGGCAAGAGCAGCTAGTGAAGGAGGAGAAAAAAACCAGGGGAGTAATATTAGAGAAGTTGAGTGAAGAGCGCATTTCACAAAGGAAAGTAAACAGTTATGTCTAATGCTACAAAGAGGTCAAGTGAGATGAAGACTGAGGATTTGTGGATTTGACAATGGGAAGAGCCTAGAGACCTTGGTAGCAGCAGATTCAGTGAGATGGAGGGAAGAAAGCGAGATTGGGGAAGGCTCAAGAGAAAATTGGAATGGCATTCAGCTTTTTGTAAAATATTAACGGAATTACAAAGGGCCAAGAATAGTTTTAAGACGCTCCTGTAAAAGAACAACATTGAAGGGGCTGCCCTACAAAACATCAATTAATCATGAAGTCATAGTAATTAAGACTGTTTGGTTTTGGTTCAGAAATAAACAGAGCAAGGGAAGGAATAGAGAGAGAGTACCAGCATAAGGAAACTTAATTTGGGTCAGCACCAGCATTGCACATCAGCAGGAAAAGAATGAACCATTCAGTAAACAATAGTAGGGCAATTGGTTTTCCATATGAAAAGAAATGAAGAGGTTCTATACCTCACCCTATACACAAAACTAATTCTAATGAATTAAAGATTTAAATGTTAAGAGTAAGGGCTCCCCACCCCCCCCAAAAAGAGTAAGGGCTCCCGGCTGGTAAAAAAAAAAAAAGGATTGAGTTAATATGACACTTAAATTTTTAAAATTTCTTTTTTTTTTAATTTTATTTATTTATTTGACAGAGAGAGAGAGAGAGACAGCGAGAGAGAGAACACAAGCAAGGGTAGTGGGAGAGGGAGAAGCAGGTTTCCTGCTGATCAGGGAGCAGGACCCTGGGATCATGACCTGAGCCGAAGGCAGATGCTTAACGACTGAGCCACCCAGGCGCCCCAATTTTTAAAATTTCTGATCATTGAGGGACACCATGGAAAAGAAATAAAAAACAAGCTACAAACTAGGTGAAGATACTTTCAACAAATGTAACCAACAAAGGAATAGTATCCAGACTTTATTTTTAAAAATTCCTACAATGTGATTTCAGTAATAAAGAGATGAACAACCCAATAGAAAAATGGGGAAAAGATACGAACAATCATTTCACAGAGGAGGAAACATGAAAGGCCAATAAATACATGAAGAGATGTACAACTTCATCAAAATCTGGGATATGTAAATTAAAACCACAATGATATACCATTTTGTACCCACCATATTGGCAAAAGTTAAAAAGTCTGACAATGTCAGGAGTTGGTGAGAATGTGTAAATTACTTCAACTGCTTTGGAAAAACAATTGGGCATCATCTAGTAAACTTAAAGGTGTGTATATATCCTACAACCTGACAATTCAGTTTTTAGATATATACTCTAGAGAAACTCTTGCACATGATGATTAGGAAACAAGTACATAGTTTTCAAAGTAGCAGCATTTTACGTGATAGCAAAACCTAAGAACAACCTAACTGTTCATTGACAGGAGAATATAGCATTAAAAAAAAAAGCATCTTGGGGCACCTGGGTGGCTCAGTCGTTAAGCGTCTGCCTTCGGCTCAGGTCATGAT